CAAGATGTTTGTCTGGCCTGTTCACTGCCGTATCCCCAGCACCTAGAACAATACCTAGGCCCCAGGGCGTCCTTGTAGACTCTTTGTGGAATGGCTGTCTCAGTGAATGACATGGGAGTTGGTCATAACGTGTTCAAGCCACGGCAGGCCAGCCAGTGTCCTACAGGAATGAAAGTACCAACCCTCCTAGCACGGTCTTTAAATATATTAGATACACAACAAATATTGGTGCCTTGTCCTTTCCATTGTCAGCCACAGCCTCTTGCAGGAGAACGAGACCCCTTGGCAATATCCGCTCTGGAGTTGGGTGACAGTGACAAATATGAGTACAAATATCAGCAATGGTGATCTCTCTCTCAGCTGTGCACATAGACGGCCTTGCTGTAAACAATGACAGTCGTAACAACGCGTTCAAAACAACTCACGCCAAGCGACTTCCTAGTTATCACTCTCATCTCTGCAGATATTGGAATCCAAGTCTTTGTAGAGTTTATATCCAACCAGAAATTCGTATTTTGTAGTCCCTGACATCATCATTTAACAAACAGGGACTTGACATTTTCAATATGAGAAATTTATTGTGACTCCTTTTTTCTGTGTAGAAGAAATTTTTAAAACATCTCAAGTAAGGAGAACATTATGTACTAAAAATTGGGGGGATGGGTGGTTTGAGGGTTTTTTTTTCTTTTATATAAATGGAATTTAGGAGACATTGCTAAATTCATCAAGATTTGAATTTGTTTTTGCTCAAGCTAGCTGTCAGTACAGTGTAGAGAGAACAGGGAAACCGGGCGTCATTACTACTCGTTGTGCCCCTATCTGGCTAGGTGACTTTGAACACTCACTCCATTTCTCACCACGCAGGCAGGGGGTGTTGAGCAGGTGATCTCCAAAATCTTCCCAACCCTAGCCTTCTGGGTATTTCCAGCTGATGTTGCCCTAACAAATCTATAAGGGATAAACCAATCAGGGGATGCCTTCCTGATTTGACTCCATGCAAAACACAGCAAAGGTTAATAAGAGGTGGTCTTTGCACTCAAAACTGGAACACATTCCAATTTGATGATATTTAAGAATGATAGGGTTAGATGGGACAGATTTTGAAAGTAAAGCAAGTCCCTGTCCCATTGCTTTGATTTTCTTTTAAATACACAATTTAATTTGCTTTAAAAGATTGTAAAAAAAAATCATGCTAAAGAAGGCTTGAAATTTTTCATGGTTATTAGGGAAGGGGCACAGTAGTGGTGGTGGAAAAAGATGGTGGTCGGATGGGTTGAAAGGATCGATCGGAGACACCTGGGTGGCTCAGTCAGTTAAGCGTCTGCCTTGGGCTAGGTCATGATCCCAGGGTCCTGGGGTGGAGTCAGGCACAAGGCTCCCTGCTTAGTGGGGAGTCTGCTTCTCCTTCTGTCTGCCCTTACCCCTGCTTGTGCTCTCTTCTTGACAAATAAATAAATATTAAAAAAAAAAGAAAGAAAGGACTGATGGTCAGCTCTGTGACACTGAATGCATTCCTTACTCTTGCTCACCCTGTTTCCCAGCATCTTCCTCAGTGATAAGAGCATAATGCCCTTCCTGACACCTCATACATCTTGGAGGAAGATCACATTTTTAATAAGTTCAAAGAAATGCTTTGAAATGGTAAAATCTACAACCATACATTTAATAATTTTAACATCTACACAACAGACTAAGGATGAGTAACAACATGGGTGACATGAACTTTGTTCATAATTCAGATGTACTAAAACATAATTTATTTTCTACCACTAAATTTAATGTCTATTTCAAGCCTAGAAACCTCCTCTCAGTCACTCTTGTGCTTCCTTCCTACAGCAATGAATGTAAATTCTGGGGCTTCGCAGAGAACCAGGGTGTGGTTTTGGTAAGGGTGGATGGCACCTGGTCTCAAGAGTCTCCACATGGATGTCTGCTGGGGCATCCCCTTGTCCTATGTTGTTGACCCACAAAAGTTGCCGGTGATATATCCTTTCCGTCCGACTGGTACCTTTAGACTCCATGAGTCTCCCCACTATCTCTGCACCTATTTGGAGGTGTGGGAATTTTTCTGTGAGACTGCATAAAGACCCTCTTCCTTTCACTGTAGCCCCTCTCTGCAGTCTTCCTGTTCCTGGTCTCAATCCGCTATTCTCATCTGTCACCCAGTTCTAAGATTGTCTCTCAGGATCCTAGTTATTAACAAGAAGGAAACATCTGTCTTCTCCTTTCTGGTCTCTTTCAGGGTTTGGGGAAACCCCTCCCAGTCCCCAGAGAAGACTTCTTCCCTTATCATCATTTATAATATTCTCCTTCCCGAAGATTTTGTGTTTCCTCAAAGTGCGCATCATCCCCCAAGGGCTTAGGTTTAACCTGCTCACCCTCCCTCTCTTGCCCTCCACTGAGTCACATCCTCCTTTGAAATAATGAGCAGAACTGCCTGGGTACCTGAAGGGATGGAGACAGCAGTGCAAAATACTGACAGAGCAGTGGAAATGTCAGTTAATAAGAAATATAAAACTTAAAATATTTTATAAAAGTTAATATCCCACTAGTGCTACCAAAAATAATAATGGATGTGTAAAAATACATCTGGATTAGTTTGAGTTCGAGACAGTTCACAGAAAATGGAAGGAAGGGAGGGAAGGAGGGAGGGAGGGAGGGAGAGAGGAAGATTTCAGATAGTGAGGATAGGAAAAAATAACACATGGTCTGTAGCATGGCTACTTGTGAGCCTTATTAGATTCTCCGGGAGCAGCATCGTTTTGTCACGTGACTTCCCTGCCTCTCTCCCCATAATGAGCCCTACTCTGGGGCTGGTCAGTAGCAGGAAGGAAGGGGCTGCCCTGTGCCCTCCACCCTCCGGTGTCCAGGTCGATGCAGGCCAGTGCCCTGGGCTGATGAGCAAGTGTCCACCTCCTCCACTCCACCCCTGCCTCCCAGGTCCCCTCCAGTCCCACCACTCCTGCTAACCTGCCAGGCTGCATTTTAAATTACCGTCTTTGACAAATGTCCAGGTGGATCTATTGAATCAATGAATGTGATGAGCTGAACACAAGGCAATGGCATTTCGGGGCCTCCCTTGGGATAATTGGTGATACCATGGGGTGTTAGGAATCTCAGCCTGAAAATCATTGCTTTGAAGGGAGGGAGGACAACTGAACCATTTCCTCCATTAAAGTGTATAAAATTTAAATAATGTCCCTTTTTTCCATGCCCATCAACCTTTTTTATGTACTGAAAAGTCTAAATATTTATTAACTTCTATTTACAGAATTCATTATAGCTGCATTCAGCCAGGGCACTCACATATTTTAAAAACATATGGTGCTTTATAAATAGCATCATATAAAAATAATTAGGAAATAATTGTGTTTTCATTTTCAAGAAACAAGGTACTACCAAGCTTAATAAAATAACCAAAAAAGGGGCGCCTGCGTGGCTCAGTCGGTTAAGCATCTGCCTTCGGCTCAGGTCATGATCCCAGGGTCCTGGGATCTTAGGTCAGTGAGGAGCCTGCTTCTCCTTCTCCCTCTGCAGTTTCCCCTGCTTGTGCACTCTCTCGCTCTCTCTCTCTTTCTGTCCAATAAATAAATAAAATCTTAAAAAAAAAATAACCAAAAAAGCTGGTTCTTGCATGAGGGCCCACAATCAACAGGTCTACGTTAGTTAGATCAGCAAGCTACAGCTGACATTATGCCACATGGAAAAACAGGTTGTTCACGTTTGGGGCATCACTAGCTAGACCACCTCAACTGGCCAGTGTTGTTGGAGGGGGCAGAGAAAGGTTCTTCAGAAGTCTGCTTCTAGCCATGTTCCAGCCACTTCTGTGAAGCCAGTCATGGAGATAAGTGAAATCCCCGTCCAGACTCTTGTGACCGGGAGGGTCAGCTTCTAAGGTGTCTCGAGGAGATGTCAGGGATCGGTGGAAGTGGGGGGAGGAGAAACTGACCAGACTTTCTAGAAGTTTCTCTCCCTCATTTTTGCCGTATAGATAGTTGGAAGTGATACTGTCTCTGTCTTATCTAGAGTGCTATGAAACACAGCCTCAGCCTCTTCCTCCCAACAGATTCCTATAGAGATGTTCTAGAACTGCCCCTCTGTGTGTTTATTCATGGCCATTTCCCACAAAAACCTCAAGTGACCGAGAAGATGCTCTATCTCTCCTCATCATCCCCTTCATCATCATGCTTTGTTACTCAGCTAACACAATTTTTGGATATGTCGGAGAAAAAAGCCAACAAAGGACTCTAATTTGAGATTCTACCATGCAGAGAAAACCGTTTTTCCTAGGGAATGTGGGCTTCTACCAATTTATGCAATCATCTAGTTTTCAAAGGTCTTGAGGAAATCACATTTCATATACATTGAAATGCTTCAGATTTGCTTCTACTGCTTTTGTATCAGCACTAACAGTCTTACCAGTCCCTTTTAATATGACTTAAAAAAAAAAAAAAAAGATGAGATCTTTAAAGCTGTTGAACCCCCTGTGACTAGCCACAAACTTTGTACTATGGATGTTGTATTTTCCCTTTTATGCCTTCAGACAGACCCTTAGCCTCTGCCCTATCACCACTTTGCGGCAGCATTTAAAAGGCAGGGAAGGAGGACGACGCCAGCCACGTGGAGCAATGTGGCTGATGCCCCGAGAGCCCCCAGGGCAGCCGAAGGAGCCAGGGTGAACAGGTGGGGAGGCTGCTGTGGGCTCTCACCTGCCCTTCCCCCGCTTACCCTTGTGCCGGCTACTTTGTGTTGCAGACCGGATGTGAAAATGTCCACACCTCTAAAATTAAACTGTAGACTTCATGGGGCAAGTGGCATACCTTTGTGTCCATTCTGCGTCCTAGAACCCGAGAAACATCTGTAATGTTTATAGTTTTTTGTTGTTGTTGTTAAATAAAAATAAATGTATAGTGTATATACCGCGTTGTAACTTGCTTTTTTGGTTGTTGGCAAATGCCTCTTTATGTCCATAAATAAGTACAGACATCATAATGGTTGGTGACTGCAAAATATTTCATTGTATGGATCTGTGACGATGTGCTGAAGCAGTCTCCAGCTGGTGCATACTTGGTGTGGTTGCGCGCTGGGCCATGGGGACGCCTCTCATTCCCAGGCTCCGGTTCCTTGGTCTGCCTCTGGTTTCAGTCACAACCACAACAGAGAGTGTCAGAAGATCTCAGACTCACCTGGCGCTGGTGCCCCGGGGTCAAGTCAGCACAGGAGTTTTTCCAACACTAAAAGAGCCTGAAGTAAAAGAGAGAGAGAGAGAGAGAGTGTGTGTTGTCACCCTGCCCCCAAGCAACGTTCAACCAATGGGAGACAGAACGGATGAATGAATGCTCCAGCCCCCTGCCCTTCTGAGTGTTGCCCCTGAGGGCACAGTAGGGCTGAGTCCCGGTAGCTGGACTCCATCCACAGCATTATATTTGTTTTCCCTTCTTCCCGAACCCTCTCCCTCTGGCTTCTCGGGATTAACTTGGAAATCAACTTCCTGTATCCGGGCAAGTCCCGCTTTCAGACTCCAAACCCAAACAGGGACTGTGATAAACGGCGATGCACAGGATGTCCTTGAATGTACATCTCTGCCATCGATCTAATTATTTCCTTAGGATAAATTCCTAGAACGTACACTGCTGACTCAAAGGGCATAGACTTTCTAAAACAAGCTCAAGCTAGGGCTCTGTTTAACAGAGTTCCTAACTGTAAGGGGATTGATTTTATTTTATTTGCCTGTGCCTGTTCCATCCCAGAGCTATCATGAAGCCAACTCTTCCATCAAGCAGCAAAGCACTGATTCTAACTTCCTATCATCTTTTAAGCCACCCCCTCCAGAGGCTCTGGAAATTCCTGCCTTTTGCTGTCCTAAAGTCATGATGAGTGGAATAACTGGAATGCACACCCACTGTTTTCCTAATAGACACCTCACTTTATTGCTTAGTAGTTATTAGGAATGAGTAGTAATTTTTCTGCTGAAAGACGACGTATGGGGAGAGGAAGAAATAAGAAAAACATTCACTCATCATTTAAGCCACAAGGAAATAAAACCAACCACCAGATAAAATGTCTGTTTCTCAAACAACTCAATCTTGATATCACTAGGGGCAGTGAATCTCTTAATTATAGGTAGCAAAGTCTCTGGATTTTATTTTTCACCCCGCATCGATGGGCAGGTGTGTGTGAGACGCGCTCACAGTCGTACAGAAGGAACACCGTCCGCGGGTACCGTGGTGGGACAGCAGCGTGCTCTCGCTAGCGAGGGGACGGAGGAAAGACCGTCAGCACCAAATCTGGATAAGCCACAGCCTTCCCACGAGGGGGACTGGTGAGCATATGTTTGCATGTATAATTTATATAAACACATATGTGATTATTTTTAAAAATAAGTGAACTATTCATAAATCATTTAAAGAGGCAATGTACCTTTCTGACATCCTTTGGGAAGGCTATTTTACGTATTTTTCCTTTTTCTGAACAGAGGAACGCTTGACTTGACTTTTAAAGGCAAGTAGGACATCACATGGCAGATTCTAACGTCTACTCCGCGCATCCTTTCTTCCCAACTGCATTTCAAAACCCCCCAGTTCTTCAGGAAGTCTATTTTTAAATGGCATATAGAATCTTTCTCTTGGCAAACACTTGCAGGTTCTGCCCTCTTGGGTGGCTTCCCTAAAAAGAAAAAGGGGTGGCAGCGGAACCCTTCCTTGGCTGTGTTTGCCACCAACATCAGTAACCGCAGCAAGGCATCCTGATGGCTATTTATTCTGTCATAATTACTACCACCAAACTTACATGATTACAGCGTTAGTAATTCTGTTGATTATAAATAGCACTAATGCTGTAATCCATCAGCTAAGACTGGCAGCCTTATGGAGACACGGTCCATACACACACGGAGAGTTGTACCTTTGAGGATTATAATTTAAACATTTCCCATTCCCCCATGGCCTCTCTTTCTAATCTGCCTGATAAAGGCTTCGTTGAAACACTATTCCCTTTCTCCCTGCTCAGTGTCTCTGTGGCCTTCGTGAAAGTCCTTCATGCAGTCGAGGCTGTGTTTTGTATTCCAAAGAGAATCCCTTGATAGTATATGGACCTGGTAATGTCCTGGTTTCTTGAATTTGCTAAAAGCAGGGGCACTGGATTGTGAAAGCCCACTAGAGCCAATTCTATTTCTATTTTCACGGTGATCTAGTTTCCTTTTGGCAAAGAGTCCTGTTGAGTGAATTCTCGTAGCGTTGGACCCTTCTCTGTTGTTTTGTTTCATTCTTATTTTTTTAGGGAGGAGGGGAAGGGGTACAATTAGGCCCTTACTCAAGGCACCCACATACCATACAGGCAATTTGCATTTATTGAGCCAGTTTCTGTTTTCAAAATGTATGGCAAGGGGTCACCTGTGTAAAGAGAATTTCCCTGCAAAATAATGTGCCCCTGTCCTTCCCCAGAGCATGCTCCCTCTGACGCTTTCATTTAAAATGGTGTGTATTGAATAACTTTGACACATTTGCTGTTTTCAGCTGTCTGCCTGATTCTTGGGAGCACTTTTTTTAAAAAACATAAACCTTTATCAATTCAGAACTAGCGAAATGTTTAATGTGGTGGTAACATTTAGTAACAAAGGGAAGTGTGTTTTTGGCAATTCTCTGGCTCACGGCATGAATGCGTATGAGTCTGTCTGTATGTATAAAAACTTATTTGATTCATAAGGTGGGTTTAAAAAGACCAAAAGTATATAAATCGGTACCCTGATCATTGAGACTACAGTGTGGTACTTTACGAATCCGTTTTCTGCTCACATTCAGATGTGGTGGCCCCACATCTTGAAGTTTTCAAGGATAATCAAAATTTCAAATATTCCGTTCAGCTGTTAGATCACTTCTTCTGATTTGAGGACACAGAACAGATAGCACCTGAGGTGAGGACTGAAGAGTGGAGACTTGGAAAACATGATAAAAATACACAAAATGTAGGAAAGCCTTATCCCAACCTTCATTTCAAGCTACTTATTTGTTATATCAGGAAGAGTTTTGAAGCAAATAAATCTTCTGATTGGATCCTGAATTTACTGCAAGTTAAATCTGTGTTCTGCTTTATCTTCGAACCACTCTGCCCTCATAGGTAGACACCAAAGGATGCAAATAATGAAACCTGTTGGTAACTAGCCATCTTGCGTATTCCCAACTTAAAAGAGACAAAAAGTGGTGGATAATCGGTATTGTAATTTTATTTTAAAGGATAAAGAAAAGTCAGCACTACGTGGAGCTTATTTGAAGCGTGAATTAATCTTCAAAACAAATAAAATCTTCCTGTTTGTCTTGATCCTGCCCCGAAAAGAATGTGGACCCTCCAAGGTTACTGCACATTTCTGAATAGCAACGGACTTCAGATTCTTGTGCTAATTAATACAAATCTCAAGTAGGAAGGTTCTGATTGCACTCTCTGGTAATTTCTATAACTACGAAAAGACTTTTCCCTAGGCCCAGAAATTTGGGTGAAAAGTAGAACAGATCCAGTGGTTCAAATGGTGGCTTGGTTTTCATGGAGACCAGGTCATGGCAGTAAGTTGGCTTTCATTCCATGTTCATGCCGCTTGAAGATCTCATGACTTGAAAGAGGGATGAAGTCAATGGATTCCAGTATTTCCAGAATGCTTATGTGTCCCTGGAGAGAAGTGGAAGACTATGGTCAAAAAGCCTTTGGTGAGAGTCACGCTTTACTGACTTCTTTTTGTAATTTGAGGTCATGCTCTGTGTAGGGCTTATCTTCAAATCTGAATGACCATGAGGAGACTTTATTATAAATGTAAACACCCCAGAAGGCACAGCTTGCTCAGAAGGCAGGCAGGTCAGGCTGTTTTTCTTCACTGATTTGGTTCAATCCTCTGGTGGCTCAGATATAACTTAAGCGTGATTAAACTTTAGAACAAGCTGCCAGGAGGACTGTGAAATCTTCATCCCTAAAATTAGGAGAGACAACCGCTTAGCTCAGATGGTTTACGCAGGCAAAGGTTTGGGCTGGATTAGTGATTTCTAAATGCTGGTCTCCAGGCCAGACCTTCATGCTAACACCATTCCTCAGCAAAACGAGAAAAATATAAGCGATGTATCATGATTTTCCATAAGTCAGATTTATTCCATTTTAATTATAGATTATATCTCTAATACGATCTCCTTTGCTTTTAGCACCGTATTGTTGCTAGTAGCTGGAAATTAATTTTCTTGTGCCTTAGCTTAGAAAAATAAGAAGTAAGCAACACTCCATCAATCCCAATTTTTTTTTTAAGTTTTAATGGGCCTTGAAATTCAAAATTCTGGGAACCACTGGTCTATATAATTTTCATTCAACAATTGTTCATTTATCTGCCTGTTCTTATGTCATACAAAAAAAATAAAAAACAACTTTGTCCCACAGGAGAATGAAAATAATAAAATCAGGGCGCCTGGGTGGCTCAGTTGGTTGGGCGACTGCCTTCGGCTCAGGTCATGATCCTGGAGTCCTGGGATCGAGTCCCACGTCGGGCTCCCCACTTGGCGGGGAGCCTGCTTCTCCCGCTGACCCTCTCCCCTCCCATGCTGTTTCTCTCTCTCTCTCTCTCTCTCAAATAAATAAACAAATAAATAAACTCTTTAAAAAAAATAAAAAATAAAAAATAAAATCAACTAACATTCATTGCACACAACACCATGCTAAGTGCTTTGCTTTACATACACTCTTTTATTTAATCCTTGCAACACCCCTCAGACAAAGACACGCAACTAAAAGCAGCGGGGGTGGGTTAGCACCAGGCCACGCTTGGCATAGGATTTCATAACTGACCTGCTTTTTCACCCTCCCTAGAAAACAGACTATTAATGGTAGTTCCAGGGAGGTGGCATGATACCATGATACTTTAAGCTTTAAATGTATTGTTTTTTTCATGAAACTGAAGCTTGAGTGGGGGAGTGGATAGGTCATGACAATGAAAACAAACAAAAAATAAGGCTGATGCTAGAAGCACCAGTGGAATTTTTGATGTATAGAACACATCCCATCAGTCCGTTTTCAGGTAATCAGAGACCATTTGTCCAGATGGCCCAATCTTCCTATCCCGCCAATCCAATCACATCCCTCTCTGCCTCATGTGGTATTTGTCTGGGGCTCTGTGATTCGTGAGCACTTCTGCATATGCAGAGGCTCTAACCACGGTGTGAATAGGCATTGGCATCTACTTAATTATAGAATGGAAGAAATAATACTTTGCTTTTGATTGGGCCACTTTAATCTTAATTCTGAATTCAAAATCAAGGGTAGGAACATGGGTCTATGCCAAGGCCACTTGGAACTACAGTCCAATCCTTGAGTCACTGAGTCCTAAACTAGTAACTTAGGTCATCATTTCGATGCGGTTTTCACAGGTAGAGATTTAAGGGATTTGGTTTCTTTCTTCTTCTGCAGAAACGGGAGTGATCAGGAAGTCACTCTGATTCGGGCACAATAGGGGAGTAAATCACCTTTACATTCCCTGACTTAGTTGTCCCCTATGGGAGGGGGTGGGGTTCAAGGTCCCTAGAAGACAATCAGTTAGCTGTTGCCATGTGCTGAATTGTGACCGCCCACCCCCCCAAATTCAATGTTGAAGCCCTAATCCCCAGTGTGAGGATGTTTGAAGATGGAGCCTTTGGGAGGTAATAAGGTTTAAATGAGGTCACGGGGGGCTGCCTCGTGGTGGGATTAGTGCTTTGATAAGAAGAGAAGGAGACCGCAGAACTCTCTCTTCACCATGTGAGGACCCAGCAAGAAGGTGGCTGTCTGCAAGCCAGGAAGAGAGCCTTCACCAGAACCCAGCCATACTGGCTCCTCCATCACAGGCCTCCAGAACAGTGAGGAAATAAATGTCTGTTGTTGAAGCGCCCAGCCTCTGGTATTTTGTTGTGGGAGTGGATCTAAGACCACTGGCCTTAGCACTGTGGGCAGATAACTCAGTTGTGGTGGAAGAGAATTGTAACCAGCACTTTTTTTTGAAGTCTGAAAGAGGAAAAGCAACCTGACCCCAAGATACATGGGTCTTTAGGGAGGCGAAGGGAGAACGGTCTGTGTGCACAGAGGCAGATGCCTGACATGATTCTGACCCGTGCAGAGAGCTGTGACTCCAGCAAGTCAAAAAAAGGAGAGTCATCTCTGGTTATCCCTGGCACTGAGAGTGTCTGGTCCATCTCAGAAAGCAAAGGCCAGGCCAGTGATGGCTCAGCTACTGTGATAGGTCACCTGTGGGACCAGCTCTCATTGGAGCCAATGGGCAGTAGCACAAAGCAATGGCAGTAATGGGGGCAGAGGCCTTCCGGACTGCTCTACAATACGGCGCTGAGTCGTCCTGCGTCCTGTGTAGCTTGCAGCCTGGGACGAGTCAGTGAGGGGAACACTCAAAAGGGAGGGAACAGATTTGCTGACCATCTGGCATAGGGAGTCCTAAGCTGATATGTATTGTTTTAATTAGAGAAACAGAGAAAATATCCACCTCTATTTGTACCATTAGTTGGAGCTCTTAAGATAAAAATAAAGGGAAAAAATGGCTTCTTTTTGTAGGAAAATCATTAACTCTGCACTTTGGAAGGGCTCTGAGAGAGGTGGTATCACGTGGCTCTCAGGAGCACGGGCCTGGTACCTCATCACCTGGGTTGGAGCCCCAACCCACCAATTTACCAGCTGCCTCACTGTAAGCAAATTGCCTTATCTCCATGTGTCTCAGCTGTTAAATGGGTGAAATGATAATGTCTTCCTTCAGGAGTTATGGTGAGTATTAAAGCATAAAATATTTAGAACTGTACCTTGTACAAAATAACTTATTATTATCAGTTCCGAACTTAATATTTTATAGAACAGCTTCCCAAGACTCAGAAGTAAATTCCCCTGAGGTCACAAAGCACATTAGGATCATTAGTATTTAATAGCATATGTTAGGGTGACCAACCAGCCCAGTTTTCCCAAACCTATCCCGATTTTAGCATCGAAAGTCCTGCATTCATGGCAAACTGGGACGATTGGTCACTCTTCAGTGAGAAGGATGAAATCACATGAAGTGGAATCAGCTGAAGGAGGTCATGACCATGGAAGAGATTTTCTTCTGGAAGGAGCAATGTTACTACTGAAGCTGTAACTCCAAATGCCAGTGCCTGGTACAAGACTCTGATAACCGTTAAGAAAGAATCTGTTGAGTTGTATATGACTACATAAGGCAGAGGTTGTCCAGTGATGTGTTAGTTTGGTGGTCAGGAATTTTCCAGACAGGCTTTCTATGCTCTGGGGAAATTCCAGCGGTGCAGATATGGTCTGGTCTCATAAGCTGAAGGTCTGTCCTGATATTTACAGAATGGAGTTCTGAATAATAATCTAAGATTGCACTTGTAGAGCATTTATCTCAAAGGAGTTCAGTGTTCTTGGTAGTCATTATTTAATTAATCCTCAAACTGTCTCTATGCGACACAGAGCAGGCAGGTGTAATTATCTCTGTTTTGCAGATTACATGACTTGGAGTTATGCCTAGTTATAAGGTGCATTGGAAAGAGATGTTCCACTCTGATAATAGATTTGATTTGGTTCTCATTCTTTCCAGTGAGCCTTAGGCCTGATGGGACTCTAGGGAACCATAAATGAACACCATAAACAATGACTGTCCATCTCTCTTTGCATGTTACATGCTGTATTTGGCCAACACATTGAACAGCCAACAGGCAGGAAGCCCTCAGACATGACACAATCAGTAGGCCAAGCCTCCAGAAGTCAGTTAACCCTCCATCCACTCCCAGCATGAAAAATTTTCATGCCATGTCTTTGTGCAAACGGTGAGACCTTCACTGATTGGTTAAATGATGGATTAATAATTGGGAATTGCCGTACAACTCAGTCCACAGCCTCGCCTTGGAGCAGTCAGTCCAAACAGGAAAGAGATAAACGAGGAAAGGAATTGATTTCCCCATCGGAAGAGGTGGGCTGACAAACCTGGAGCTACAAATAACGAAAGGCCGAGAGTCCACGTGCCCTGAATTGTTCAGGCACGCCCCGCTGCACTCTGCACAGCAGTGCTCCACTGAGGTTGGTGACCTCCTACATTCACACATTGAAGCCTAACCCCAGTGTGATGGTATCAAGAGGTGGGGCCTTTGGGAGGTGATTGGGATGAGGGCCCATATGAAAAGCCCCAGAGAGCTTTCTTGCCCTTTCTGCCGTGTGAGGTTATAGGAGAAGACAAGTCATCTGTGAACCAGGAAGAGGACTGTCACCAGACACTGAATCGGCCTGCACCTTGATCTTGGCCTTCAGCCTCCAGAGCTGTGAGAGAGAAATGCTTGCTGTTTAAGCCACCCGCAGTCTATGGTATTTCAGTTATAACGGCCCGAACTGACCAAGACGACCAATGCATTTAATCCTCACCAATAAGGCAGGAGTTAATTTTTCAGTTAGGGAAACTGAGGCCAGAGAAGTTAAATGATTTGCTGAAGGTTACAAAACAAGTGTCAGAGCTGGGATTTGAACCCAGGCATGCTGCCTTCTGAGACTTTGGACTTAACCATTCTGCTAGAAGGAAAGCGAAGATCAAACATGAAAAGTAACCTCCTCCTTAGGAAGCAAAACTTGCATCCTGCCTAAATGATAAACCTGTTGGCTGCTCAACCTTTGACCCACCATCACCTCCTCTAATTGGGGGTGTGACGGGCAGGGAGAAAGTCGTGACTATCTAACCTGAGACCAGGAGAAGTGACGATTATGGCCACAGCCACGGATCTGCCAGCAGGAAGGCCTTTCTGGGCTTAACTACTTCCCCAAACACGTCTGTCATTCTGGCTAATCAGAAATCAATATGACTCTTCTCTGCCCAACGCCTCCACATTTATCAGGTTTGCCCACAGGGGTGCAAGCTTATCTCTTATTGAGATCACGGCTGCAGTGCTCTAAGTCTGTCCATCGCGCTCTTCACTGGGAGGAAGAGTGGGGGAAATCCAGAGATGAGGAAAGACTAGAGACACTCAGGTCAGAAGGAGAAAGGCTGTTCCACTTTGGAACATTTTGCATTAGTTCCAAAGGACTAAAGCTGTCACTGTGGGTCCAAGGCACACTCCAGAGTCAAGCGGCCCCTAAAACATTTGTGGCCATGGGTACAGCGCCTCATGAGCACAGAGCATTTGCAGACAATGAAAAGCACATTGACAAAAGCTAGTTTTATGACGATCCTTAATCATTACAGGATGACGTCATCAGCAGGTTCTCAAATCAAGCCCCATAGGCAAGTCCAATCAGTAGTTTCTTTTGTGAAACTTTGGAAGTTGTCATCAATTTCCTGGGGTGAGAACAATTCAGTGCAACTGGTTTCCATGTCTGTTTTACTTTTAGAACACAAGCATGTCACCTGCCAACTCGGACATCACTCTCAGGCAGCCAAAAAAATTTGAGTGTCAGCAACCTTCAATCTTACTTAAGCTGCTTTGTTAAAAAAAACTACTAAGTTTCGGGGCACCTGGGTGGCTCAGGTGGTTAGGCATCCGACTCTTGATTTCAGCTCAGGGCTTGATCTCAGGGTCGTAAGTACAAGCCCTGCGTTGGGCTCCACACTGGGAATGGAGCCTACTTAAAGAAAATAATAATTGTAATAATAAAGATGACCAAGTTTGAAGACCATGAGAACAGAGCATTAAGCCAAGCTCAGGGCCCTGGATATCCGCACATGCTGTTGGCCAACGAAGCTGGCCCCATCGGGGCCCTTTGGAGGGCCTGCCTTGCTTCCCCCCAGGCAGGCTCAGCTCACCCATCAGGATGCCCTTCTGCTTCTACTGCGATCTGAGGCCCTCCCTGTTTGCCTCTATATGGCTGGGGCATACTTAGCCCCTGGAACGCCCACCCAGTGCCCCAACGGCCCTCCCCTACTTCCCCAGCCTCCAAGAACCTCAGCTGGCAGCCAGGCCCACTCCCAGAACTTGCTCTACGGTAGAGGCAGGCCCATTTCAGGTTCTCGGTGTTGTTAGCAGCAACAGGATTAGATCCGTGTTCAAAACTGGCGTCGCCGTTTGGCCTTGCTTTCAGAAGCTGTGGGCGCGTTCCTGTAAGCACCCCTTAAGGAGGAGGCTCCGAGGATTCCCCACAATGGGAACATGACTTCAGGGGAAGAGCCAACGCGCCATTCAAGAAACAACGGCTGCTCCATTATCAAGATGGAGCTGCCACAAAGATGCCGGTACGGGAATACCCAGTGGGCTCTTCAAACCTCATGCGAAGGCATGCCAGCACTCAGGTTCAAATGCCGCATTCATCTGTCTCTGCTCTGTGACTGCATGAAATGAAGGGGCAGGTATAACTGAATATGTGTTTGTTGAATCGGCTTCTGTGAAAAGAGAGAGAACAAATGTGAGTCAGAAAGTGAAAGGAATAGGTCTTGCAAATAGGAAGCAGCATCATGCTTTTTTCAGGGGATGGAACGGGAGCTGAGTCACATGGACAGGATGGAGCTGGGTAAGCTTCTTTCCTGCAGAGGAATGAGGGCGATAAGGACTCACGCCTGGGACTCATTATTGTATGTGTAGGAAGAAGGGAATTGATACCCTTTCTAGTTTGGTAATGACGAGGATTAAGAATGTGCTTTCAGAGCTCTGTGGGCTCTCTCTTATTTTCTATGGCAATAGGAAAGGATATAGATGAACCTGGTTCCATCTTCCTACCACATAAAAACGATGAGAGACAACAAAATTTCTTAATTTTATCAGATGATACGACTTCAGCATATTCAGATAATCTGAGATGGGGTCTATTATTTTGATATGATACATGAAAGCACGTAATCGATTTCTACTAAAAAGAAACTGTTACCTGAGGCATGGTGTTCACTCATCAAATGGAGACAAGAGCCCATGGGAAAGTTTCAGCCTGACGGGGCCACACTGACTCCAGCACACTGAGGAAGATGCTGAGCGGGGTATCAGCAGTGTCCCCCACCACCCTTACCCTGAGCTCTCCTCTAGGTCCTGTTTCATTTTGCTTTGTTTGCGTTCGGGTTTTGGGGGGGGGTTTCTGTGGGCTTTTTTTGTTTTTTGGGTTTTTTTTTTTGTATTTTGACCTACCTCTGGCTACATTGTCCTTGATCTTGAAATTCTCTCAAGTGTCCACTTTCATCCCTCTGACTCTAGACTCCTTTCTGGTGGATGACAGTGTCCTGATTCACCCCAGGTTCTGCACTCACTTGGGCGGGGGCACCTGCAGCCTCCAGGTCCATCAGCTCTGGACTTGAATGTCCTTGGACAGCCTTAAAGATCCCAAGTCTGCCAGATTTAATAATTCTCAACCCTAACCGCACATTAGAGTCCCCAGGGGAGCTTTCAAAACTGTAAGTGCCCAGGCCCTGTCAAAGACTAAATTCCATACCTTTAGATGATAGTTCTCAAAGTGCGGTCCCTGAACCAAGAACTTGAGCATCCCCTGGGCACTTGTTAGGAATGCACATTCTCAGGCGTACCCCAGACCTACTGGGTCAGAACTCTGGGGGTGAGACATCTGTGTTGAACAAGCTCTCCTGGTGACTCCAATACTGACATTCAAGAACCATTGCTGCAGGTACAAACATTCGTCTTTTTCAAAAGCTTCCCGAGATTAAAATATGTAGGCAGGGTGGAGACTCACTGGGATAGTAGTGCTATATGACTTCAGAGGCATAAAAATAAAAAATAAAAAATAAAAAAAAAAGGAAGAAATTGCTTGAACAGAAAAACTCCTAAGACGTCTACGTTTAGGGGAGCTGTCCCCTCCACCCCAAATGCACCTCTGTGGAGAAATCCAGCCGGTGTAGTTTGCTGAGGTCATGCTTAGTGACTGGAGTCGACATGGCCATTTCCCTGGAGGGGACATTACCCTTGGCCTTGGCACACAGCTCCGGTCCTCCTGGTCGGGACGGCGGTGACGGTGATAGGATGACTGAGCAGGGATTCGGGAGCCAACCACCAGCTCAGATAGATTAAAGCCCTTCCTGGAGAGAGAGTGTGAGACCAGATGGTTGAATTTGGGGTTTCAGGTACATGGTATTTTACATGAATTTTACCTAATACATTTCATTGAAATAAATATTTTAAGCAATTGTCTCAAAAGACATTTGACATTATGACAAAGCAATAAATGCTTCCACTTCATCAAGCATTCAGATGGGATACACTACATCATTTTCAATATTCATTTCAAAACTCTCCTCAGCAGTGGCTCTTTAAGAGGCTGATAACAGCATGTGGAAAAATACTGATTTGAGTCCATTTTATAGCTGACGTTGCCTACAATTAATTCTCCCTACTAAATTAAATTCTTGGTCATTAGATGCCTTAAAAAATAAAAGACGTATTTAACTTTCCCTCTGGTTCAGTTAAATATAGATATCCTCAAGGACGTGGATGGTTGAACAGTTAAACCTTTGGCAGGCACGTTAGGGTTAAATAACTTCATTGAAATCACTTCCTTCAGAAAGAAAGGAAGCCTCATACTTGCACCCAGTACAATATATTTTAAGAATTATTTAAAATAGATTTATCTCAGAAGAGAGTAAGAAAAAAAGGTATTAGATTCAGTCAGCTCACTGCGGTAAAAACCTCCTAAATTGAAACCTTCTCATTAGTCTTCAACCAGAAGGCCGCCTCCTGCCTTGTACTCTCCTTGCATGTTGATGAGACTTCATTTAGTGGCATTTTTAATTCTACTTCGTGTCCGGAAAAGATATCCTCTGATACTTGAATCATTTCTGCTATGTCCCTCTCTAAACACCGCCAGGGGCATGAAACCCAGCCCTCCTGACGCCGAGAGTGCTTCCTACTTTTGTTGTGAAGGTGAGAAAGGGTCTTTCTCAGACTGGCCCTCTCTCCACCTCTCTATTCCCCACATCTGTCTTGCTTCTGGCCTGGGTCACGTAGACCATGTCTAATCCCTCCACGAATATACTAATCCTTCACATATTTGAAAATTGCTGCCAAGGTGAAATCCTACTAAGATAAATGAGAAGTTTTCTGCTGGGACCTAAGGAAGGAGCTGCATAAGTACAAGACCAGAACAACAGGAGTCAACAGCCCAGATACTGCAGCTCCAATATACAGAAGAGGAAGTTGAGGCTGAACACCACGAATGAACCCAGAGCTCCCAATGCCAGGCACTGGTGGGACCAAGGCTCGACCCAGATCCTTTTACCCCAAATTCTGCTCCTTTTCCACCTCTCCATGATGCCACCCTCAAGTCGGTTACGATCTTTTGGAACTTCCAGTGTAATGGACAGTTTTGTTGTCTTTGCATATGGTGAACTGTTCACCTGTCTTCCCTTGCCTTTCCTATTAGGACGTGATTTTTTTCTTTAATGACAGAGATCATATCTTTAATTTAGTCTAATATTTCCCATAATATCACACACACTGAGATGCATAAAAACTATTTCTTGATGTGAAATGAAAAGTCAAATATATTTTAACATTTGTCTATAGAAGCAACATTAGAAAAAAGAAGAAATTTTCTCAATGCAGCAATGTAAATCTTTTTTTTAAAAGAAGTGTGGTCTTACATTCCATATAGTTGCTGGTGCCAAGGATATGTCTTAGTTATAAACTTGGATCACTTGTGTTTCTTTTTCCTGAAGAGATGAATGCTTCAAGCACAATACTAACAAATGCCTAAATATTTTGCATTTTCCTACTCCCTTGATGAAACATGCACCTGACCAGTTTCTCTGCTTCGGATTTTTTCCCTCTCTAGATCTGTCTATAAACTCCTTTCATGCTACTCTTTCTACATAATAAAATGACTCTCCTGGCCTCCAGAGTTAATTGCATACTCCTTGGCACAGTTTAGGGAGGCAGGATCCTGCTCATTTATCTCACTCGGCTCCCACACAGGACTTGGCACCTTCTCCAGCCCCTCCAAGCTCTCCGGCCCAGTGCTTGCCACACTCTCCCTCCCAGCCTGCAAAACTATGGAATATTAGCAGTTCCTTATATGACAAGATTTAAAGATAAACCGTGGTTCAACCAGGACTGTGATGACCTGGAAAACACACTTTGTTTTGTTTTGTTTACTTAAGGTTCTACTTATATTTGTTTTTATAATTCCCTCTTTTGAGTAGATTAGCTTTGTTTGTTTATTTTTGGTTCTCTTCTAACTATTAAAATATTTCCAAAGGACAATCTTCAAACAATAGACCAATCTGGTTCTTAATATGACTAGAAACCCTGAAAGGAACACATTTCAATTCCTGGTTATTCCTTACACGGGAGAGTATCGGCAAAGGAACTGTCATGGAGTCGTTTCCGGATGAGCCTGTTGGCTAGGCACGATGCTTAATTCTATGTGCCAAGTTGACAAAGCAAAGGGATGCCCAGATAGCTGGTAAGACATGACTTCTGGGTGTGTCTGTGAGGGTGTCTGTAGGAGAGTTCAGCATTGGAATCAGTAGACTGAGTGAAGAAGAACCTCAACACCAAAACAATGAAGGCTTGAATAAAACTAAAAGGCAGAAGAAGGGCAAGTTTGTTCTCTTTGCTTGAGCTGGCATGTCCATCTTGTCTTGCCCTCAGACATGGGTGCTCCTGGTTCTCAGGCCTTCGGACTCGGGCTGAATTATACCACCAGCTCTTCTGGTTCTCCAGCTTGCAGATGGCAGACTGGGACTTCTCGGCTTCCATAATCATATTTGCCAATTCCTGTAATAAACTTCTCTCTCTCTCCATACATACACATACACATACACATCCTATTGGTTCTGTCTCTCTAGAGAACCCTGAAAAAACACTACGAGAAGTCTACTGACCTGGCTTCTTATGCACATGGTGTTCTTTCCTTAAACCAAATGGTGATGTTAAGGAGAATAATGAGGAAAAGAATGATAGCTATTTTTTTTTTTTAAGATTTATGTATTTATTGAGAGAGAGAGTGTGTAAAAGCAGAAGGGGCAGGGGGAGAGAGAGAATCTCAAGCAGATTCTGTGCTGAGTGGGGAGCCTGACACAGGGCTCAATCTCACGACCCTGTGATCATGACCTGAGCCAAAACCAAGAGTCAGATGCTCAACCAACTGAGCCACCCAGACACCCTGAACAATAGCTAATATTTACTGAGAGCTTACTATATGCCAGGCATCACTCTCAGCTCTTTGCTTGTATCATCTTACCTCCCTCCCTCTACGGTCCTATGACATTGGTGCAATCCGTATCAGAAGACTGAGGCTCAGAGAGGTTAAGTAGCTTATCCAGGGTCACAGAGCTGGGAAATGGTAGAACAGCACTTAGATCCATACAGTCTGGCCTAAAGCCCTGGCTTTTAACCACCGCGAGACATTGCTGCCCCAGCTTCAAGGGTTTGTGAAAACCCCTTTGGATAGATCATCCATGACTTTTCATTCGTATCAATCTGTCATCAGGACCGAAGGCTCTGGGCTGACTCTCCATACTTACGAGCACAGAAGCAAAACCAGATCCTGCCGTGGTTCTCTCCCTGGCTGTATATGGGAAGCATCCCGTGTACTCTGCCAGCCAATTTCTCAAAATAAAAATGGTGGATCCTGGAGATTCTGATTAGGGTGGTCTGTGTTAAAGTGCCAATGTCAGTAGTTTTTAAAAGCTAGGGATTTTAATGAGAACCACTGTGGGTCCAGGAGGCTACCAGTCAGTGCACGGACCAAGACTTTAACTTCATGGAGGAGGATTCCCTAGTTGCACTCTCAGAGAGCAGACTGTACTCCAGAGGCGAGAGAGCCCCAGGACACCCCACCCCACCTCCACTCTCCAGCCTCCATTTCACGACCAGGCGTTAACTCCATTTTAGAGCCTGCATGCTGGCCAGAGGAGCAAAGAGAAGCGTGCAGGAGTAGCAGCAAGCTTTTAGTCAGTGACCACGTCCCGGATGCACCCTAAGCCCTGGCGAAGGCCCGGGGGCAGGTGTAATCAAGGTGTCCCAGGGGATATTCAGAGCAGAGCCCTCAGCAAGCACAGCTTCTAAATTTGTCCTCGAGAATGATTAATCTGTTGAAGCAAATTCCTGGGGCATAATTAAGATGCTCTAATCAAGGAAGGAGATTGCTATGCAGCAACCTCGGGCACTGATTTGGTGGAAGGAACTCCTGACCAGAAGGCCTCAATAACCAAGTGGAAGTAGTGAAGGTGAAGCACTCTTGACATCAGGCTCTTAAAACAGAACCTGCTCAGAGGGCTACATGGTCCGAATAGAAAAGATGGTGAGGAGTTCCTCCTGGCCCCTTCCCTGGGCCCTCTCAGCTTCGGGCCGCCCCTGGCGTGGAGGGTCCCTGTGGGGCAAGCAAGGGGTCAGGGGAGTGAGGCGGGGACGCCCCCGAGGCAGAGGATGGTATCAACACAGGCACCTCGGCCTCCACGGCCACCTGCTCGGTGGCTCAGCTCCCCCTGGTAGAATTCCCTCCCACCCCCCACCCAAGACATTAGGACACAGCTTCCGAATTTAGAGGCCCGGCTAAGCAGAGGGAAGTGCAGTGACGTGTGTGAGGCTAGAGATGAGTTTTCTAGGAATTCAAGGTAGATGCTGGCCCGGAAGGGCACAGGAGAGCTCCACTCCAGGGAGGAGGCACAGGTGGAGGCCGAGGTGGAGGCGGTGGCTGGAGGCTCCGCACAGGACGAAGCGTGCCCTCCCGGGGTGAGATTAGCAGGAGCAAGTATGGCGGCCAGCTCAGTAGATCTCTCAGATCCCCGGCCTCCCCGCCCTCCCCACGGCTGCAGTTCATCTCTCTTCCCCAGTGCAAGAGCCCCTTTGAGTAGCTGACCCGGTCCTGATTCTTATTCAGATGTTTCCTAAGGTTTGTTGACTAATATCAAAGACAGATTCCAACTCCCTAAAGAGTGCAGCTATGGAACAATGTCAACAGCATTAATGCTTGACAAACACAAGATATGTTTAACTCAAATATTTAAATACAAACGCTCTGTTTTGGTACGGAGTACAGATGAAAGTGCTTTTATCTGCCCAGAGCTAGCGAGAGGTTATCCACATTATTAAATAACCACGAACATTTTCCCCTGGAAAAATCCATCGGGTGCCCTGTGCTGACCCCAATTTTTTTCTAAATTAGGTGTGTGTTGACTCTGTATTTTTTCCCTCTCCAGGGGGACAGCTTGCCTCCCGAAGGATGCATCTCCCCAGGACTGACAGGCCCTGGTCACCAGACAGACACGGAGAGGCAGGGCATATGTGTGGCCTGCCCAGCAGGTTCCTGCTCTGCCCTGCCCTTCAGGCTGACAGTCGAGCTCCTCTCAAGGTCAGAGCCCGGTGTACTCAGCTGAGCAAAACATATGGTCCCTCCTCAGGAGCCTTTGATCTTCTGGGCTGGAGCTGACTGAAAA